CCCCTTCCAGCCCCTGGAATCCCCAGAAAAGGAGCTAGAAAGAGGGGCGCGAACCCAGGCGGGAACTCCGAGCCCAGTAAACAAGAGATTTTCCGGCCGCCGTCCCCCGGGGCCGCGCCGTCCGGGGGCGCCCGGCGGGGCCTAGTTAGCTGGCGCGGGAGGCCCGAGGGGCAGCGGCGCCGGGAAGGGAGAGGTGCTTGGGCCTGGCCCGAGCCCAGGGGACGCCGAGGGAGGGCAGGCCTCCGGGCTCCGGCTCCGCTCTCCGGGGTGCGGGTTCTCGCGGCGCCGAGTCGCCTGGGGGATCGCCAGCCGCGCGCGGCCTCAGCCAGCCGGTAGCGGGGCGTGTTCGCTCAGCCCGAGCGCCCGCGGGAGGAGGGGCCGCGGGGGAGGGGACCCAGCTGGTGGCGGACAGAGGGGCTGCAAAGTGGGGGGCGGGCTCGGGGCGACGGGAGGGTACCTCGCGGGCTGTTTGTTCGCGAGCCTCGGTCTGTGACCACCAGGAATCAAACTCTGAATCACTCCGAGCTGCCCAAGCGATAAACCTCAGCCGGCTCCTCCCTTTGCGCTCCAGCTTCTGGGACTCCAGGAGGGAATGTTTGCTTAGCGGCCGGCAGCAGTGGGGCCCTGGTTTTCTACAATCCAGTATCCCTTCCTGGACCTGGCCCCCAGCTAGGGATCTGGGAAAGAGGGGGTTGCCTCAGTTCTTGTAAATATTAGGAAGAGCGCATTTCCGCTGCTGAGCCGCCTGCCCTCCTCTCCCCCTGCCCCCACCGCCCACCCCATGTCTCTTCCTCCCCTGGCCAGGTGTGCGCAGGCTCCTAAGGTCCAGCCAGTTGCTGCCCCACTGGCCCCGGCAGTGACTGGCCAGGCCTACGGGGCAGATGGACCTCTGACCTCTAGCTAGCTTTCCTGCCCCTCGCTGACAAGGAATGACATCCCATGGAGGTACTGACCCCCATCAACCTAGAGAAAAAACAAACCGGCACCCTGCAGGAGCCCCTGAGGAGCTGGGGTCCAGCCCCCAGACTCAGTTTGCTTTCAGGCTTGGGGGCCCTACACCCCTTCATGCTACAGAGGCCCCTGGTGAAAGGCAGCTCGTCTCCCCCGCCCCAGCCCCAGACTCCTGGCCTAGGCAGGGGAGAGGTGGGGGTACCTGGCGCCTGACCGCCCACTGGAGTCTTGGGAAAGAGACAGCAGAGGTGGCGCCCTGCCCTTAGCCCTGCCCTTAGCCAGCATGGTGCGTGGCGAGCAGGAATGTAGGCGGCTTCTGGGGGTGTTTGCTCTGCCTTTTCACCCCGTCTCCTCTGGAACAGGATCTGCCTTCAAAACAAAGCAAGGCCCTTGGGACAGGTGACCTGCCTCGAGGCCCCTGCTGCCCTGTGCTTGTGGCTGCTGGGGCCTTGCCCTGTCTGGGTGGGGAGCCCCGAGGGGAGGTGAGGAGGGCCCACCACCCCATGGGTCCGACCGTGGTGGGTGCCCCTATACTCGTCAGGCCTGCAGAGGCCGGCAGGGAAGCTTGGAGGGAGGTGCCCTTGCTTTCCGAGATGCCAACCACTGGACCGTGGCGCCCCCAAATGCCCTTCATCCGGTGTAATGACCTGTTGGCATTTAACCCGATATCTAGGCCCATGTCCCTTTGAGAAGCGGTCCCTGTGGGCACTGCCCACCCGCTGTTGGAAGAGGCCCTTGGAGGGCTGTGTCCATGCCCCTTCCTGCACCAGTATGGTGCCATGGAACACTTCCTGGGGGCTGCAGGCGTCTCGGGTAGTGACAAGACCCCGGGCCTGGGCTGGGAGCTCTCTGCCACCTGCCGGCCACCCCACCGGTCCCAGCCCAACTTGCTTCGAGTGTTGCCCAAACGTCTAGAATGTTCCTCGCACAAGCCTGGCCCTTACAGGTGTGCAGTGACCAGCCTCTGCTTTCCTGGTCCACTGCCTTGAGCCTGAGTCCTGTCACTGCAAGAGGCCAAGCAGTTTCGCACCCCAAACTTTCCTGCAAGCTGCTTCTCTGACATTCTTTCCATTCCGTGCCTGTAATTGCCAGGCCTCGCTCTGGGCCTGCCCCTCGCTCTTCCTTCTACCTCCAGCATCCTGTCCCTCCTGCCCCCTCTCCCAAACTGACCAAAATGCTTCAAATCTGCCTGCGCTCTGCTCCCCACCAGGCCGTCTCCAGGCTTTCCTCGCCACCCCCAGAAAGCCGCCCGCGCGCTGGCCCACGGCTTGCTCACATTTGTTTGTCTTCTGTCCTCGTGTTTCTCAGCCAGGCTCCTCGCCCTCTCCCCGGTGAGAGGTGCCCTTCTCAAGAGCGGGGACAGGTCCTGCTCTTGCCCCCAGCATCTGGCACAGAGCCTGGCACGAGGTAGGCCCATTGGTCCCTGGTGAGAATGACAGCAGCAAGAAGGGACACAGCCCCCGGGCGGCAACGCGCTGCTGACCTGCCCCGCCGCCCCCCCGGGCCTGGCCAACAGCGGGCGCCTGCCCGCCCTGGACCCAGACCCTCCTGGGAAGCCCCAGTGCCTGCTACCAGGTCCACCTGCCCTGGGCCAGCCATGCCCTGCCCCTGAAGTTCTGCGTGGGCACCCTGGCATGGGGCCCGGGAGGAACCTCCAGGGAGAGTGCTGGAGGTCATCCTGTTCCCTAGAGGGACTTCCTTCGTCCCTTGCCTGGGAGGCAGCAGTGCTGGGGGCAGTCTCTTTGGGGAACTATTTCCTGCTAGAAGGGGTCCAGCTTCTGGGTCCCGATCCCGCGGGGCCTCAGTGCAGCGAGGAAGTTCCTGGCTGGGCTGAAGGTGGGGCTCTTGGCTCCCTGACAGGTGGGTGCAGATTTTGCATTTGACGTCTCCTTCTCCCAGCCCCGCGTTAACTGCTGGTGGCCCAGCCTGCCAGGTCTGGCTGAGTCTCCTTCCTCTTCAGCTCACAGGACTGCCTGCTTGGAGCCACAGGGACCACCTTGTTTCTTGAAAGGACCCAAGTCCCAAGGTGGCCCCTGAAGAAGCAGGAGGCCGGGTAGGGAGCAAGCGGGTCAATGCTCACTCACAACCCACTGCCTACGGACGATGCTTCTGGAAATGGACCCGGAGGTGGGCCTCGGGCAGAGCCTGCTGCCTGTCGCCTGACGCTCAGCCCAACGCCAGCAGCCTCGCGTTCTGTGGCTCCCTGCTCCCACCCCAGCCACGGCTCAGTGGCCACTCACCAACTCCCCGTGGAAGGAGAGAGCTGGATGTCACATGCTCTCCAGGCCTGACCCACCTTCATCTGCCCACTGAACCAGGAGCCAGGCCAAACCCAGGGCCCAGAGATTCAGGCCATGCCCACCCCCCAACCCCTTCCAGAAGCCAAAAGGAAACGTGCAAGCAGCACAGTGGTTAGCCAGCCCCACCCCCTAGAAGAGTCACCCCAGATCTGAGAACTTTTCCAGGTCACACTTGCCTCTAGGTCACCCCAGTGGCTATCGCCCCCGACTGCTGACCCTCCTGTGGGCTTCCCTCCACTCCCTAGCACCTCAGCCACCCTGCAGCCCCCAGTCAGTGGGGGCCAGATGACGACCCCGGCCCCACACACCAACTCCCACGGCCTTTCGGGGGGCTGAACCCCACACTCGGCATCCACAGCCTCGCCGCTTGGCCCCTCCTGGGCTCCAGCCTGACCTCCCTCTTCCCCGCAGGAAATAGCCCTCAGCCTGAGAGGTCAGCTCCAGACCGGCCACGGCAGTGACTTCATTCACATCCCCCCACTCTTAACTCAGGAGACCCTCACCTCTGTGACTCAGTCTGATCCCTGTAAGACCTGCTCCTCCCAGAAGCTTCGCTGGTGACTTCATCTCACACCCTCCTTCTCCCGCTGCCCCCCCCCCAAACTGCCCCGCCAGCATCGCTGATTGTATTTTATGCAGGGATGCTCCGTCTCCTGGTGGCCCCGTGGGGTGCGGGCCCTGCACTTCACCCCCATCCTTCCTGCTGCCTGGGGCTAGTGCTTTATACTCTTGATACTCATAGCCAAATGAGCAAGCAGTATGGGTGAAAAGACACCAAGTTTGGCCAAGAACTGAGGGTGTTTGACCTCACAGGGCGAGGGGAGAGCAGGGTGTAGGCTCAGCCTTGCTGAACCCCCACGCTCAGGTCCTGACGCCCTCTGGCTCCCAGGATCCTGCAGCAAGAAGCGCAGACGCTGGTGGTTCTGTACGCCCACCCCTGCGAGGCCGAGCCTCTAGCACTGAGCCGGTTCCCAGCCTCCTCGTTCACACGTCTGACCTTTCTGGACCGTGGGTTCAGTCAGGTGGACATTGCCGTGTCCATCACAGAGAGCCAAAGGCTGAGGCTCCTCATGCCCCAGGGGCTCGCCACGGGTGGGCGTCCTCCGTCCCCTGCCCGGGACTGGCCCGCTGAGCCCTGGTCGAGCTGCTGCTCAGCTCTCAAGCAGCCTTTCTGTTCCTCGCCTTACTGGCGTTTATTTCTCTGCGTATAATCTGTCCCCACCAGGTGTGACATGTCTGAGGGGCAGGTGTACCCCGCCCGCCTCTGTGGCCCCCCGGCGCCTGGCCTACAGCGGGGTCTCAGGAAACATTTGGAAGGGAACCGCTGGAGGCAGAATGAGCAGGCCAGAGGACGCCAGCCCTGGGCCGGCCTCGCTCCTGGAGGCCTGCTCTTCCCCCACTGTCCCTTCCCGGTCAGCAGCCAACCTCAAGACACTCTGCCCTGGGCAGTTGCCCGCCCGGGCAGGGCGGTGCCACCTCTCTGCCCTGCGTGGTCACATCCTTACTGTCTCCTGCCCGCCTTGGGGCCACTCAGCCTTCCCGCGCCTCGCCACCACGGCAGCTTCCCCGAGCAGCTTCTCGGGACCCAGCTGCTGCCCTCCCAGGCTCTGGCTCAGCCGGGACCCCAGGGGCTGGGGTAGGGGCAGCCAGAGCTGCCAGCACTCACCACGGACGGACAGAGCCCCCGGCGGGCAGGGCCGGGGCCGGCTCCTGGGCGGTGTCCAGGCCCAGCTGCTCCCTGCGTGGCCGGCCGCTCCACCCTGCCTGCCTCTCCGGAAGCCCAGCTGCGGTGTGGCCCGAGGCTGCCGGGAACCTGGCTGTGCTATTCTGGGAGCCTGATGGAGCTCGCGCCGGCAGCAGCTGAAATTTCAGCCCTTTCGGTTTCCCGCTGCTCTTCTCCTCCCCTCTGATGATAAGGCAGAGTCCAGTCATTACGCAGCGCTCAGAACCGCTGCTGGTGCATTTGAGGGTCTTAATAGCAGCTGTGGTTGTGCTTAAGGAGGGGCCTGGCGCAGCGTCTGCACGGGGCCGTGGCTGCCTCGGCTCCGCCGTCAGTTCCTGCGGTCAAGTCATTTTCCTGAAGTTTTACAGCCTGTCATCAGCACCCACTGCCGGAATCCAGCCCAGACAGGCTCTGGGCCCTCGGTGAGAGCCGCCGGGCGCCTCCGCGGGCCGCTTGCTATCCGTGGGAACGTGGCGTCTCGGTGACCTGAGTCTGCAGTGTCAGCAGTAAAGCAGGAGACCTGAGTCTGGGTAACCAAAGATGTGGGTCGCCAAGCCCGCTCTGCAGCAAAAGGGAGCAAGCCCTTTTGTTACCTGGAAATAAAAATCTCATTGATAGACCAAGCGCTGATTTGATCATCAAAGTGAAGCATCTGGGTAGAGTTTACTGTGCCA